TATAGTATCAGATACTATACTACTTCGTTGCATACTAGACGTTACGATAATTAAAAAATGCTTGCGTTTTTTACTCTTCCACACATAAGCTTAGCCCTCATAGGTTCCATCACAAGTGGCCGTCATTCTCATTCAAAAATGCTTAATCACACTTTGAAATATTTAAGTGAAACTGTCACAACTGTGCGTAATACGCACTTACATATATTTGCTCTAGTATTTAATTCATTAATTGCTGATAATAGTCATTTATTTCCGAAAATATAAGCAGTCGGCTCATTAGTAGATTTTTTATTTATAGGCTTTTGTTTTCCCTTGGCCAATTAAATAAATTGCGGTTTGATAATGAGCGTATTACGTACTCATACAATGTTTACACTTTAAAACGTTCATATGTAGATATTTGTGTATATCAATTATACTCGAATTTTTGTAGTAGGTAGTGATAGTAGGGTGCTAAAGCAGATGTGATTCTGCTGTAATTATTTATAGTTTTTTGCTAAGCAGATATCACGACACCGGAATTTTGAGTGAGTGATTGAGTGAGTTTTGTTGACCCATTATCTGTTGAATCGATAAATAAATTAAAATTCTTCATACTGGATTAATATCGTAGACTTTTTTCTCAAACACAATTACAAGTATTGATATTATTTTTAAACACTATTTTAAAACACAAATCCCTTGTTAACACTAAATAATGAGTTATATTATTGAAAATATAATCCCTCATTTTGTTTATAATTATTATTTTTTATTTAAAATACAATTTTTAACATGTAAATTATTTATGCCTTTAATTTAATTAAAAAATTTTTACCATTAAAATTATTTATGCCTTTAATTTAATTAAAAATGTTTTGCTATTAAAATTTTGTATAATTTTTATTTAATTAAAAATTTTTACTATTAAAATTTTATGTAGATTTTATTTAATTAAAAAAATTTTCTATTAAAATGTTTTATGTTTTTATTTAATTAAAGAATTTTTCTTTTAAAATATTTTATTTTCTTTTAAAATTAAAAAATTTTTACTATTAAAATGTTGTAAAATTTTTATTTAATTATAAATTTTTACTATTAAAATTTTATATAGATTTTATTTAATTAAAGAATTTTTCTAATAAAATGTTTTATGTTTTTATCTGATTAAGGAATTTTACTATACAAATTTAGTATATTTTTTATTTAAAATAAAATTTTGTAAATACCTTTGATTAATTAGCGTTTTTTATTATTAGCTGCAGTACTTAGTTTAAATATTTATTCACACACCACACACCATCGGTTTCAAAACTCAAACCCTTAATGAAGCTTACCGTTTAGACAGATACTGAATTTGAGTTGACGAGTGCTTTTTTCACAATCTTTATCTGTCGCTGTGGATATAAGTAAATGTAAACTTATTTAAGAAATTTTATTATTCTCTTTCACTTACAAAGGCCAAAATGGGACGCGTCAATGAAACAATAAAAATTATTTACATTGCTACTTAAATGAAAATTTTGTATATGAAGGCTTGTTTTGATGGTTTTAAAAATAAATGACAACTATTATTTAAAAACAATATTCTGAATGGCAAATTCGACATTAATATTTATACCCATTATGCAATGTTGCATAGACCTTCTTTTACGAAATCTTTACATTCATCTGCAACATCTTTAATATCTTTGAAAAGGCAAGAAATATATTCAAGTTAAACTAAAATTATTTGAATGCTTGCAAAATTTTTATGGAACTATGTATGTATGTATCTAATGAGCATAAAGCGTTTTCGTTTGATTTGGAAACAAACTTCTCTAGTCTGAACCACTTTTGTTACGGTTATATATTAATGTATTATATTATAATTACAAGCTTTCATCCGTATTTCACAATTTACATGCGACGTAATGAAGATTCCCTTATAGTGTGGTTGTTTCAAGCTTTAAGCATCACAATTCACAAATTTTCAAAAAAGTGTCAAGAAATTGAGGAATTTTCATGTATTAGAAGCTCTAATTAGATTTTCTAGGCATATATAATATGCTCATTACATACATTACTAATTCATTAGAATTAAATTAGAATAATAATGAATTGCAATGCGAATTCCAAATTTAAGATCACTTAACCTGTCGGACTTAAAAAAGAAAGCAATAAATTCTCAATACTTCAGTCTTTTCTGTGGGAACTTGGGATATTGGAACTTTTTTGGTAATTTATTCAATACCAAAAACATTGTTTATATAACCAGCCATTTCGGCAGGTAGGATCATGTTCAATATCGCAATGAATATATATTTTTTTAAAATTAAGTTCCTGCTATTTGTATGCCAGTTTATTTATAATCACTTTATATTATTTTTCTGTACTAAATAATTTGGTTCTAAAAATATTGTTAACGATCTTCAACTGACCGCGCCTCAAAATATGCAATGATTTACGAATGAAGACGCAGAGTCGCGTGATCACCCACAGCGTAAAGTGGCGGCGAAAATAAAACTTCGTTAAGCAATGAGCAATATCATTAAATACTTAATAATAATACATAATTATCAAAAACACACATACATTAAAATAATAATGATTCATTGTGTTTCAATAATATCACTTAAGAATCTTAAGTATTTTGAGTTTAAACTAATCTCTTAGTGTATAATATGATTTAGCAATAGCTTAGCTATGTGAATCACTGCTGCGCTGCGGCTTTGGTTCGTTGCTCTTTGTTAACTGTTTATTTTATGTGTGTATGTATGTATGTATTTCTTTACGTTGATCGCTTATTTTACAATTGCCAGAAATTTGCTTGCGAAAATTTGTTAAACACAAAATGATTGCAACAAAAACTGCGAAGCCGATTGAACGTTAATAAATCTTATGGGAGTGACGGGGTGCAAATAACTTAAAGAAATAAAATAAAACAAGTATTCAATAAAAATTTTCTAATTAAGCTTTCGCTTTTTCATTGAGTTTCGCGATTTGCAAGAGATAAAATGGTGTCAAGGTCACATGGCTCAAATAAATACTTTCACTCAATTAATTGCACTTGATCCGAATTTGTTGGCATCACCAATTCAATAACCTAGTGGACTTTGTTCTGCAGCATCGGCGTGATCTGACTTTTAGACCGGCATGATCTTGCTCTTGGAACAGCGTGATCGTCGTATTTTTATATAGCCTACAATCGTCATATAGTTTTAAAGCGTTTAGCGATAAGTTTTCGGCTTCTTTGGCATTCATTACCGAAAGATAACTCTTCAATATTTCTCATTTTTATGCACAAATAAAGTGTGCTGATAATAAGAATCTCAATTCACAAAATTAAATTATAATTCGAAATGAGCACATTAATTATTTCGGAGATCAAAGCGATCTTATAAATTATACACAATTTGCCAAACTTCTTGCAACGCAGTCATATAGCAAATTTTTTCGAAACCATTTAACCAACTCTTTAGTAGCCGATTTAGAGTCCGTAAACTTGTTCCATCACAGATTTACTGGATCTCTTGTAAAATCCAATCAGCCAGCTAGCTAATAGAATGCGATCGATGTGTTTTTCCCGTTTTCTGTGGGATTTTCAGTTAAGCATTTCAATAGAAAATAGCAATTTCTTTTTTCTTCGTGTTTAAACTGGCAGAACCACCGTCTTATAAGTAAAACTAAAAAGTTAAAACCAGATAAATAGCCAACCTTATCAGTCTTTAATCTCTCTAGACATAAAGCATACAAAAAATTAATAAACATATTTTTTTTTCTAAAATCATCTGAGAGAAACTTCGTGCAATATTTTATAAATTTGTTCACTACGAGCCGAGTTACAATATATTTTGTAAAAACTATTTAAACGAACATCATTACACCACAGTTCAAGAACGCCGAAGCAAATGAACTTTCTCTCGAACTTCATCATTACGTTATTATATATCTCCCTATTGGTTTCATGGAAATAACGCTTCAGTGAAAAGATCATTGTGAAATGATGGTTCGATGAAAATCGGCAGATACCACAGCAAATCGCAACAACAAATCGCGAACAACGTACGTCGTCACAGAAACATATTTTGCAAATTAAATGAATTCTTAAATATTTAAATATAATAGTTGACAAATTGTGTAGGCATAAAAACAGCTATGTATGTATATTTTAATTGCTTTGGAGCTCAGCCGATTTTTATTTTAATAAAATTAACAATAAATAGCTGCACGTGTAATCGAACGCGAAGTTCAATGGTTAATTATGTGTAATTCGATATAAGTGTCTCTTTATACCGTATTTTATAATTTGAACTTTGAAAACTAGCGATTGCTTATTGAGCACTTTCTCCTTAAGATTTCAGAAATCGGTACGAAAAATATTTTTGAACATAGATAATCGGGCTTTAGTTAAATCACTTGATTTTCACGTGGAACTGAATTTTTTTGGGACCTGAATGTTGAGATTATTATGGGCCAGGCTAATCCCAATAATGAATTTATTTTTCGATAAGGCAAATTTTTGAAACATAGTGTATACGCTTGCCTTTTTTTGAGGTATCTGATTCATAACTTTATGCCCCACCACGCATAAGTTTTGTTTTCCAAGCAATGTAGCTCATAAGAATCTCCGCTGGGTATGTGCAACAACCAATTAGACCATGATTCAATTATATATGATTGTATTGTATATAAAATTGTGTCGATTACGATCTCGAATAATAAAATTTTAATTACAATTTTTCAACACATATTTTATCTTTACATATTTCATTATCATTATTACACGACAGTTTCGAACGGAAGTACTTTTTCTAAAATTTATATTCATAACAGCTTTGTGAAACTCTGAACGCTGACAGCAGTCTTACCGATTTTTCTAAGAAGAGTTATAGATGTAATCTGAAAGTGTGGTCGTGCGTTGTGACACCATCGTTAAGGGTAGATTCGCTGTTCTAGATAGCGTTTAGTGATTTTATAATTCCCACACCATGAGAGAAAGTAAAGAATTTCGCTCAAAAATATTTTACGTAAGCATGTTAATATCGATAACATTATTTTATTATTTAACGAAATTTCGCCAACTTATAATTAGTTCATAATTTTACATGTAACACTAAATTTTCTAAAATTAAATTAATTTTTCATAGAAAAAATTTCATCACAGCTCTACTGATGTTTTTTGCGTAACGCCTCAGGCTCTTTTCGCCGCAATAGGCTTCCCAAAAATTTGAGAATTTTTAACGGTAACCAAATCACTATAAATGCAATCAAAAGCGCACAACCAAACACATCTAATAACAAGTACTGATACAGTGGCATATAGGCGCCATAAGATTTTAAATGTGTAGCACCTTTGTGCCTCGCAATATATTCGATCCAGAATGAAGCTTCATCCAAAGGATGCATTGGATTATCTCTAAATTTGCGTGATGCTTCCAGTGCCTTCTGTTTGTAACTGGCATCACTGATTAGCAATCGTATATTCTGTACCAGATCCTCGCTCGTCATTTGACCGAAGTTCAATGTGCGCGCATATCCACCACGCACCGATTTGATAGTGTTCCGATGTTGATCGCCATAGAGAGGTATGCTTAACATCGGCACACCCCAGTGAATGCCCTCTTGCGTGCCAAAGATGCCACCATGTGTGATGAAGACCTTGATATTCGGGTGAGCGAGTATATCATTTTGTGGCAACCAGCTCTGGATTTTCACATTCGGCGGCAGATGACCAATAGAGGAGTTTTCGAATTTCCACAAAACATTCTGTTTCAGCTGACCGAAGGCGTTAAGTATCAGGCTGATCTTTTCCTTCGGCATATCTATACTCTTCATATAAGAACCGAGACTGAAGTAAACCACACCGTGGGTAGCGTTGTCCAGGTAATTCTACAAATTGAGTAAATGTAAATAGCAAAATAAGAGCGAGTATAAATTTGGGTTTCTGTGACAAACCTGTAGATCCTGTGGCAGTGGCTTGGGTGTTTTTATATGCACACCGCCGACATTTACAAGCCCGGGCATACTGGGACGCGGCACATCCAGACTACGGTGACTATTGATCAACATTAACGAAATATTTTTCTCCAATTGCCGTACATGCGGCAAGGGACCCTCTACCAGTCCGGTAAAATGCCGCTCAGCCATTTCCTGCATTTTAGGCATATAATACCAGCGACGCATCACAGCATCGTATAATGATAGATAAGTATTGTAGGCACGTTGCGTGAAGGTCATTTGATCTGTATGCGAGAGCAGTAGATGCGGTATAAAAGCCCAAGGCGTAAGTAAGCCCATCGTATGATCCATATTGTCCGCATAACCCATAGTGCCTAGCGTCACAACGGGACATTTAAATTTGTGCGCAAACATCAAAAAACTTTCATGGAAGAATTGCTCCAAAACGATTAGATCGAATTGCTGATCTTTACTGGCGATCAGTGCTTTAACTTTAGGATCGTTGAGCGCATATTCGCTGGTGAGCAAGCCAACGTGGAACCACATTTGTATGTTTTGAAAATCGCTGGCGTAACGCATTTTGAATATATTCTCTTTGGGAACTGAAAGTTTGGTTGCAAGAAACGATTTTTATAAGAAGTAATTATAGTAATTATAGCGCATTTTCGCTTACAATAATGTGGTATATCGAATTGCGGATCGATGATGATCTCTGTCAGATTCTCGTGCCTATATTTTGCGCGATGATTTGTGAGAGCCGTTACATGGTGACCACGATGCAGCAGATCGCGCAGAAAGTGTTCCAACCACAACCAATGACTAGGCGCTGGGAAAGGACCCATAAAGAGAATATTGAAGGCCGTCGACGTGATGGGCATCAGCAATGCCGCTAGACAGAGTAGTAGCCAACGTGGGTGCATCTAAAAGTTTGAATTTTTTTTATATTATAATAAAATTTAAATTATCAATTAATGTTTAAATATGTACAACTTAGTGACGAAAAAATGCTAAATAAATGTCATGATCTTGGCAAACGTGATATTTTGTCAAATAAATAATTTACTGGTATTTTTACTGTTAAACGAAATTACATATTTTGAAGCACGTAATTTAAAAACAACAATGTATCAAATAGAGCTCTCTGTATTGCATTTATGGGCTACAAAACTATATTGTCTGAATGCACTGCTTAGACTTTACACCTTTGACTTTTTGCATGTTTATATTGCAAACTTAAATATTTATATATTATTTTATATATAAGTTTATAGTCAGCACGATTTGTATATATATTTTTACTGAGCTTGAATGACACGTGTTCGAAATTCAATAAAAGCTCTAATAAATCAATATGTGATATATGATAAAATCTAGAAAATTATTGTGGACGGGCGTCTTCTAAAACCACAGGCTTTCCACACAATGTCTCAAGTGCCGCTGGCTATTAGCAATTTGATGCTGTAATTACATCAGTTGATATGATTTAATCCAGTTACAAGTGATATGCTGCATAACATTTGACGTTTAGTTCTTAATGGATTGGTTATACCCAACGCATGACGGAGAATGAGTTTATTTTTTATTATTATTTTTTCAAAGTGATTTTGAACCTTTCGTAGTTCAGCTAACTTTTGGAAATTTGTTGAAAAATATATTACATGGAAGAATTAAACATATCATTTTGATTATTTATATATCGAGTATTAATTTTATAGTTTAAATGCCTAAAGACTAGATTCGGTAATTATAAAATAATTTTTTTACGAGACTCAAAACTTTCTTACAGATATTAAATATCATGGCTTGAACCTAAAACTTTTAAGTAGAAATACCACATTTTGCACCGTTTTCACGCCTTTTAGGTATACGTATCCGAAATGGATATGAATTTTTATCCGTGAAAGGATTATTAGTTCGGCAGTATTCCTCAAAAACATTTTTGGAAACTGTTTGTGCTTCGAAAAGGGTTACATTTAAAAGTTTTATTTTTAGCTTCGTCCGACAGACTTCGGCCGGAGGAAGATGCTCAATTTACCCTAAGATCATGTGCGGTCTCGAGCAATGAAAGCAGTAAAATCTCAAAGTACCTAGTAAATATAGCAAATAATGCATTGGATCTATGAGATTATATCTTTGGGTAGTATATGTTTTATTCAAAAGTCTTCTATTAAAAAGTTTGCCTAGTTTACCATAAATACCGTGCATAATACTTCGTTAAAGTCATAATACTTCTATTACAAGTGTTGCACTGGGTATAAAAATGTCTAGAAATCACTTTGCATCGCATTAACATAACCAAAGAAAACTAATTCTGTTATGCATAAGCAAAATCAATCAGTGCACATTTCCTTATATCCTCTATTACATCCATAAATTAGCATTTTTCACCAGCTTGCCTACAGTTAATTAATTAATCGCATTACTTTTGTTAACGTATGCAAAATCTTGAAATGCGACACCTACTCATAAACTTCTATATCACTTTACATTTATCATAACTTCCACTTGTTTTTGCAATTATTCTTGGCAGGCATAAAAAATAGTTCAAATACCGATTCTAATCGAGATTAAGAATTGTATAATGAGGTGTGTGCATTATTTTTGTTGTAAGAAAAAAACACAGTAACTGAAATGCAACTGGTTATTTTTACGACGTTATCAGCTGTCAATATAAATACGTGTAGGTATACAACTTAGCTTACACAACGTAACATAATAAAATGCATGTATATATTATATATTGGACTTTAAGATTTATGGATTTTAAGCGTTTTACACGACACTTTTTTAATTCATTTCCGTATTTTCAATTTATCTGCACTCTGGCTAGCACTTAAAATATTTAGTAATGCGTTAGTAAATACTACTAATTATAAACTGGTAGTTGCCCACAGCAATAATGTTTTTGTAGGCAAAAATTCGTTTGACTTTGCAAAATGAATTGCCAGTATCTCTACATACTGCATTGTAACGGTTTGGTCTGACAGACCGCAGTCTAAAGTGATTGTGCTGAAAAGTTGTAATAAATTTAATGCACGTGGTTTACTTTTTGCTAGTTGCAATACCTAGAAAATACAAGTCAAATTGTATTAGACTCTTGCAACATAATACATATGCAAACAAAAACAATACAGTTCAAGGGTAAAGTTGTATGGGAAGTTACAAAAATTTAAGCTTAAACTCTTTTCATGGTGTACAACTCAACTCAGTTGAGACTAGCACTAAGACCTTTGTATCGTTTTGTTGCCTGGTCTACGCGATTGCAATCAACCGGATTGTTATCTAGCCAAGGATTTTAAAACAATAAAAACTTATTTGATTAAAAAAAAAACAAGGAAAGTCAAAACTCGGCCGGCGTCGGTTTTCTATCGAAGAAGTAACCATTTTTTGCATTTGATTCCTTTCACATTCCCTTTGGAGCTCTTCTTGGTATATGCACATTCCGATTGTGAAAACTTTTTAGAGCACTTACTTAATCGGCTCGGCTAATCGGATTTCACTATCGCTAGCATAAAAAGTTAAAAAATCACAACAGAAACTTAATGGTATGATATTGTCGTAGTACATTCTTTCTCACAATTTAAGGCACTGACTTAGTAAGGCTCGTATAAAGCATTATTTTTCTTCCTGGAGAGAGTAAACTTTTCCGTCCGTTCATAGAAATACCTATTGGCTAACATTTTAACCAAGATTCCTATCTCCTCTAGACGCATAAAATTATCAAAAAATATCAAAGAACTGACTATAGAATACATTTTATGTACTTGACATTATTATTTTATTTATTAAATTAACGAAATATAAGTCTTAATTCATCGATGATGGCTTTGATGATGACTGGTGATGTGGATTCAAATTCCCTTGCAAAAAACTCTCAGTACATTATAAATATGGGCTCAGCGAAATACAAAGTGAAAGTTTTTATACACGCTATTTCTTTTTACACTTCGTAAAATCGTTCTGGCGATTTCAATTTCAGAATATCTTTCAAGAAGAAACCCACACTTGTCAGCCCCCAACCAAATACATAGAATATTTACACAAGTGCTCGTAAATATAAGGTTTTGTATCACATTTATTATGTTTACCTACTTAATAGTTATGTCTGTGGATCTCAATGTCATTCGTTTAATTGCGTTTTCAACAAAATACATTGAAGACTGGGCGCTTGACGTGTTGGTTGATTATAAAATTTTAATAGAGTTGCATATACAGGTGTGTAAATATTTACTGAAATTAAATTCTTGGTATACGCTGTTTATTGCACTTGCAAATATATTTGTTGACAAAAAATAATCAGATTAAATTTTTGCATGTTTGTACGAAGACTTGCGCAACGTACTGTATAAAAACCTCCGCGAAGAGATAGCGAATATATATACTTTTGTTTGTGTAATCAGGTACTTATAGATGTGTTTATAGACATACTTATGTACATGTATATATTCTAATTGCTGTGCAAAAGTGAAATTCGTTTCCGGACTTTATTTTTCAAAGAAACATATAAAAACACATATACTTGTATATGTAATATGTATGTTATATGACGCTTTCTTCTTATAAATGTTATAGTTTCTTCCTTAGCTTAATATTGTTAAGAAAAAAATTTGAATTTAACATATTTTTAATACTTTAGTTTTATTAATTTATTTTAATACATTAGTATATATTTTTAATAGTTTAGTAATACTTTTTAACTTAAATTTTTGAGAAAAAAATTTTTTTTTTGCTCAGCCTGAGGGTAAAATTTGTAGATGTTTTTTCCAAAAATTCTTTTTTAACATCTAGAGACTCACATTTAAAGTAAAGTTTCGAGTTAAAATTTTGATTTCGTAAAAAATTTTTGATAAGTGTTCTAGAAGCTGTGGAGAGTCCTCTTTTCGGCCAATTAAAAGTTATCGACTTAACAAAATTTTTTGTGATCATTATTGCAGTCTTAAAATAGGTCTTACACGACAACATGCTTTCATTGAGCGTTAAAATAAATTATGAGTCAAAAACCGTCAAATTCGTTAATTTTTATTAAATGTGAAGAGTTTAAACCACAAAAAAAAATTTTTTTTGGCAAAAAAAATTTTAACTCGAAATTTACTTTAAAAGTTAGTGGGCCGCCACTAGATGTTAAAAATTTTTTTTTCAAAAATATTCTTTTTTTATAATTTACAAATTTTACCCTCAAACTAAGCAAAAAAAAAATGTTTTTTGCTCCACCCTAATATATAGTTATACGATTACAACAGCAAATCTACCATAAGTCTATGCTGACACTAAATAATCTGAGGTTTCGCATATTGAGCGTCTCTATTAAGCAATTGTTACCTAACCACTTCAGCCTGTAACGATCAAACCACCACTTGCGGAAAATTGTTTTGTTGTTTGCCAACAAATGTACAACACATTTCACAAACTTTGCCAAAAGCATCTACGATTAAATAGCGGTAAACATTTTTACAAAGAAACAACTCAAAATGCGGCCAAATGTAAGCGCCGCAGTCCTCGTCACACTTTTTGGTAATAACAACAACCGGCAAATAATTATGACCGTCTTTTACGCTTGTGCTTAATTCTTCAATTATCTACCATAAGCCAATTTATCGGTGACTATGTTGCTTACAACATCGTAACAATGCATTAATCACTGTTTGGTTAATAATTGTATATCTCAACATACGAGTATATAGCTTTGTTGTATTCAACTTTCGAGAGAGCGCATTTCAATATTAGCTAATATCTTGAATGCACCGTTAATGACGCTGTAATGCCAAAGGTCATTTTCAGAAAATTTGTGTGAATTTTTGCGTGATTTCCGTGTTTGAACGTCAATGCAAACAAGCGTTTCGAAACGAAGGTGAATTTAGAGCATAGCAAGAAAAATTATTAGTAAACAAATGATCGCGTGTTTGTAACAAATTAGATATCTCATTATAACGGTACGCAATGAGTTGTCAGTTTTGTGAGAAAATTGTCAACTATTACAATACTTAGAATATATTATAATCGCATTAGTTTATTTTTAATATTTTTCATATATTTTTTAAATTTAGAAACTAATAAATCGTTGAAAAATCTATTACTTTTTAATTTTATTTAGAACGTCCTCGGTTTTAATTAAAAATTTTAGTAGGTGTGTTAAGTTTTTTATACTTTTATTTTGCATAGATTAATTGCGCAATCTTTATTTTAATTTCACATAACAACAATACTTGTTGGTATAGAGAATTTTTTTATTGTTTTGCTTTTTAAATATAATATATTTTAATTTTACCTTTACTTACTAAAACTTTTTTACTAAATTAATCATGTCAAACACTTTATTATATTTTAAAATATTACAATTATTAATATATATAAAAATATAATATTTGAAAAAAAAAAATTTATTTTATTTCAACTTAATTTAATATTTTTTGTTTGTTATATTATATATTATTTATATATATTACAATTACCATATTAAAAATTATTTTCATAAAATATATGAAAAAATATAATTTATTTGCATATATTTTTTTTTTATTATTTTATTATATTACATCTTATTT